AATGTTTGTGACCTTACAGTCTAGCCTTACTTCTGAGCCCACCTGCTTTATCCCTGCTCTCCAGATATTCCACATTCAATCCTGCCACCAGACCTTTGCCTAGTCTGCTCCCTGCACTGGAATTGTCCTGTGTGTCCGTCCCCTGCCCCTCTAAGCCCCATTTGTGCTCTAAAGCTCAGGTTTCCCTGCCCCCACAGAGAAGCTTTTCCTGATCACCCTAATCCCTTCCCCTTCTCTCCCACTGGGAACAAGTCCTGCCCTTCACAGGCTCTGGAACCATCTCTGAGCAATCTTGTCATGATTGGTTTATTTCACTGACAAATATGTACTGTGGACCCACTCTGTCTGGGCCTTGCGCCGGGTGCAGGGATACACACACAGCCTTTCCGTGGAGCTGATGTTCTAAGAGGGGAGAAGATAACAACCCAAGAAGTCCAGTGTGTCAGATGGCAAAGACACTGGGGAAAAATAAAGCCGGGAGAAGGAAGGTGGGTTGGCATTTTAAGTGGGGTGGCCAGGGAAAGCCACACTGAGAAGGTGACATATGACAAAGTCCTGATGGAAGTGATAGGTTGAGCCAAGTGGACACAGGGACAACAGCCAGTGCAAAAGCCCTGAGATGGGAGGGTGCCTGGCACATTCTTATTCAAGGAACGGCATGAAGGCCAACGTGGCTGGAGCCAAGGCAGCCCAGGAGCTGGAGGTGGGAGCAGAAGCAGAGAGGTAGCGGCTAGATGGCTGGAGCAGAGGAGGTATGTGATGTGACTGAGGTCATGGTAAAATGTCAAATGTATTAAGTGGCAGCTCAATATCAAGTTCTCACATTAATTAATGGCTCATGGAATCCCTCCTCTCCCACCGCGGCCGATATGTTATGATTATTTTACAATCAAGGACATGGAGGCTCAGGGATATGGCATGACTCCTGCTAGATCACCCAGCTTAGAGGTGGCAGGGCCTGGGCTCATCCCAAGATGTGTCTGACCCTGGGACAAGCCCTAAGCTGCCATGCGCAGAGTTTCAAGCCCAGGCCACAGTGCAGGGCTGAGTGATAGAACTGATGGGGCTTTCCAGGCGCAGGATGGATTGGGCTATGTGGGTGGGTGTGATCCCTGCTTTTCCTCCTTCTTTCTCTGCCTCACCCTGAGGTGGCATTGGCTCTTGGGCAGGGGGTCTGGGAGTGATGACTGGAGGAGAGTCTCTTGCAGGGGTTTTATGGGCTTTATACCAGGATAGAGTTTCTAGCTTTCCTGCCACAAGGGGGCTTGAAAAAGGAGCTCTCTTCCAGCCCCCCTCAACATGGAGGTCCCCTCAACATGGAGGCTCAGTGTTGGCTCCTCCAACTTTGAGCATACTCATCCCCAATATGAGGGACTTAGAAATGGAGTCCAATCTGATGGACGTGGCACAGGGTAGGGGCTGCTCAGTCAGAAGGCAGAGGCACCAATCTTTGTTTATACAGGTTGTGTCGGTGGTGGATCATGGCTCGTCTTCGTGGTGTTGGCAGAATGTGGTGTTGCAATTTTTGGAGAATAAATGAACAAGAGTGGGTGGGGCATCCCCAGCTCCTCTTCCAGTGGGTAAGGATAGAAGATAGTAGGATCTGGAAAGACTAGGGAGAATGAGTAAAATCTTCTAGGGCCTGTTACTTTGAGCAAGCTTGACATTTGAAAATCATTTTACAGAAGGGTTTCTCTACATTCAGTTTTGTAGATTACGAGCTCCAATAGACCAGGGATGTTCCGTAGCTAAAATTACACAAACAAAACAAAACAACAAAACGAGACCAAAAACACTACCAATAACAGCAATAAAAGAACTCTAAATTTGGGGCGCCTGGGTGGCTCAGTTGGTTAAGTGACTGCCTTCGGCTCAGGTCATGATCCCAGGGTCCTGGGATCGAGCCCCGCGTCAGGCTCCCTGCTCAGCAGAGAGCCTGCTTCTCCTTCTCCCTCTGCATGCCGCTCTGCCTACTTGTGCTCTCTATCTCTGTGTCAAATAAATAAATAAAATCTTAAAAAAAAACAAAAACAAACAAACTCTAAATTTAATGGAGATATTTCTGTATTTAATTTTTTTTTCTTCCTTAACGTTTTCACTTTAAGTGGACAGCAGACAAAGAGAATCGCTGAATGAGTTGTGAATGTTGGCGGGAAGACTTGAAAGTCATCCTTTGAACAATGTTGAACAATTCTGAGGTGTGTGAATAATACAATACTTGTTTTTTTTTTTTTTAAAGATTTTATTTATTTGATAGAGAGAGACACAGTGAGAGAAGGAACACAAGCAGGGGGAGTGAGAGAGGGAGAAGCAGGCTTCCCGCCGAGCAGGGAGCCCGATGCAGGGCTCGATCCCAGGACTCCGGGATCATGACCTGAGCTGAAGGCAGACACTTAACGACTGAGCCACCCAGGCGCCCCAATACTTGTTGTTTTAAGGAGAATTTCAGAGTCTGAGTTAAATGAGCTTGAACATTTGTAATGTAAAGAAGCCAATTCTATGCCAAATCACAGTGAAGATGTCTCTGTTTCTTCCGTCTGGCCCCAGACCTTCTAGGTCCGAAGGAGAGACCCACTCCTCTACATGCCAGCTACCCACCTGTGCCAGGTTCTGATTCTGCTCTGGTTTGGAGGTCCATGGAGAAACCATCTTTGGTCTCAGGATGTAATGAGAAAACCCCGGGCCTGGCCAGATCCTAATCAGTGTTGGAGTCTGGCCAAATTGGCCTGTCCAGGGAGGTGACAGAAGTTTCCTGAATGTTGCATAATATCCGGTCCAGGTCAGCTCCAGGTTGGGAAGATGCCCAGAGACAGGGTAAAAGTTCTGGACAAGGACAGCCTGGACGTTCTGACAGCATAAAGTGAGCAGGGATGGCCCCTGGTGGCCAGGCCCTTAGAATGTCTCCTCTTTTATTAATTTTCTTTTATTTTTTATTTTAATTCCAGTATAGTTAACATACAGTGTTAACATTAATTTCAGGTTTATGATATCGTGATTCAATAATTCTATACATTATGCAGTACTCATCATGGTAATTGTATTCTTAATCCCCTTTACCTATTTCACCCATCTCCCCACCCACCTCCTCTCAGATAACCACCAGTTTGTTCTCTATATAGTTAAGAATCTGTTTTTTGGTTTGTCTCTTTTTTTCTTTGTTCATTTGTTTTGTTTCTTAAATTCCACATGTAAGTGAAAGCATATGGTATTTGTCTTTCTCTGTCTGACTTATTTCACTTAACATTATACTCTCTAGATCCATCCATATTGTTGGAAATGGCAAGATTTCATCATTATTATTATTTTTTAAAAGATTTTATTCATTCATTTGAGACACAGAGATACAGAGAGAGAGCATGAGCAGGGGGAGAGGCAGAGGGAGAGGGAGAAGCAGACTCCCCGCTGAGCAGGGAGCCCCATGTGGAGCTCGATCCCAGGATCCTGGGATCATGACCTGAGCCGAAGGCAGCCGCTTAACCAACTGAGCCACCCAGGCGCCCCAAGATTTCATTATATTTTATGGCCAAGTAATATTTCATTGTATATATACATATATGTATATATATATATTTGTGTGTGTGCATATATATACATACATATACTCACACACCACATCTTCTTTATTTATTCATCTACTGATGGATACTTGGATTGCTTCCATAATTCAGCTTTTGTAAATAATGCTACAATAAACATAGGGGGACATATATCTTTTTGAATTAGGGTTTTCCTATTCTTTGGGTAAATACCCAGTAGTGGAATTACTGGAGCATATGGTAGTTCTATTTTTAATTTTTTAAGGAAACTTCATACTGTTTTCCACAGTGGCTGCACCAGTGGAAAAGTTTGCCTTCCCACCAACAGTGCACGGGGGTTCCTTTTTCTCTGCATCCTTGCCAATACTTGTTGTTTCTTGTGTTTCTGATTTTAGCCATTCTGACAGCTGTGAGGTATTATCTCATTGTGGCTTTAATTTGTATTTCCCTGATAATGAGTGATGTTGAGCATCTTTTCATGTGTCTATTGGCCATCTGGATGTCTTCTCTGGAGAAATGTCCATGTCTTTTTTTTTTTTTTTTTTTTGTCAGAGAGAGAGAGAACGTGCACAAGCAGGGGGAGGGGCAAGGAGAGGAAGAAGTAGGCTCCCTGCTGAGCAAGGAGCCCAACGCTGGACTCAATCCCAGGACCCCGACTGGAGTGGAAGGCAGATGCCTGACCAGCTGAGCCACCCAGGCATCCCAGAAATGTCCCTGTCTTCTGCCCATTTTTAATTGGATTATTTGAATTTTTGGTGTTGAGTTGTGTAAGTTCCTTATATATTTTGGATACTAACCATTTATCAGGTATGTCATTTGCCAAGTATCTTCTCCCATTCAGTAGGTTGTATTCTGGCTTTGTTAATTATTTTCTTTGCTGTGTAGAAGCTTTTTAACTTGATGCAGTCCCAATAGTTTAATTTTGCTTTTGTCTCCCTTGCTTCAGGAGACATATCTAGAAATGTGTCCTTCTCTTTTAAATATGTAATTTATAACCGCTTCTCAGGGCTGAGGGGTCTGGAGAGGACCAGGCTGCATCACACTCCCTCATATTACAAATTACAGTATTATAAAACTGAGGCCTGGGCAAAGGTACTTTTTTTCTCCAAGGTCACAGGTCACACAATGAAGCAGGACGACAACAGAATAGAACCTAGGTTTCTCCACCCATGGAGAATCCTATGGATGTGATTCCAAGTGACTGGTGTTCTTTTAAATGACACTTGTTTTAAGTTCGGAGGAGTGAACCATTTAAAGAATCTCTGACGGGCGACTAATTGGCCCTTAAGGTATTGAGCGAACGCCCTGTTTCAAGGGCCCTTTAAGAGGACACAAATACAATGACCCACGTGTCCTCCACTTCCGGGATCCTTGAAGCCTTTCCTACCGGTGGTTAATCCCGGCCCGCCCTCAAGGTATCTTGGGAAAAGTAGTTCCACTTTTCTGCACACACAAGGTGGCGGCCGTCTTGAAACTGCATTTCCCAGAAGGCTGTGCTCGTCGTGCGGTAAACCGAGCTACGGGGCCGATGCAGTGAACCCCTCATCCTGGGTTTTGTAATTTCTTAGGGGATTAGTGACAGTGGACGGAGACCTTTGGCGGCGGCACCCGTGGGCTGCTGTTCTGGCGGAGCTGCGCGCGGAGGCCGTAGAACCGGCCACACAGCTCTGCTTCCGGCCGGGGGACAAAAAGCGGAGGTGCAGCGTCTCCTTTAATCGTCGTGGGCGGGGCGTGGCGACGCGACTCGCGTTGCTATTGGCGGCGGTTGGGGGCGCGGAAACTGAACGGGCCGCAACGGCCGACGCTGCCTTCTCCGGCGCCTTGGGCGCCCCGGGCCCGCCATGGCGGCACCTTGCCCTGTAAGTTCTTGCCGGCGGTGGTTGCCCGGCCTTAGTCTCCCCACTGGGACTGTGGGTGCCTAGCCGAGGTGATGGCTGCTAGGGGGCGAGTGGGATGCTAGGTCCCGAGCCAGTCTTCTCCAGCCTGTTTACCGTCTGTGCAGGGGGCGCTGGGTCGGGACACGTAGTGAGCACCTCCTGAGTGCCAGACCCTTTGCGGACTACGGGGGCGGACCAACGAGTCCCCGCTCCCCGGATTTGCATCCTAGCGGAGGAGACACTAGTACTAGTACGTTTCGACTGGAGGTCGGGCTGGAGGCCAGCTCCGGGCCTCAGTCTCACCATCCTCAGCAGTGGGTGGCTGGGTAGGGGCTTGTTGAGCGAACACCGTGCTCGGACGGGACAGCCCAGGTCTGCAGTGTGATCTGGGCCGGGCGCCCTGAGTCCCAGTTTCCTCCAGAGGGAAGCACTCCAAAACCCCTCTTTTTGAGAGATTGTTTAAACATGTCTGGCCTTTGGGCTGGGTTGAGAGTCAGGAAGACCGGGTGGTGCCTGTTGGCATGTGGGGCCTTGAGCAGAGGGCCCAGACTTAGGATCCAGGCTTTTTGACCCCTAATCTAGCCCTTCCCATAAGTCCCTCCCCACTTCCTTCCATATATAAACCACCTTAGGGTGCAGCCACTGAGGAACCACAGAGGCGGGTAGGATGAGGAGGTGGGAAGGATGTTGGGAGGTTTCGGGGTCCCCTGGTCAGAGGTGGAACCGAACTTACCTCTGCGCATTGAGCCTAGAGGTGGGCATTATCTTGTTCTCCCAAGAGGTTCAGGTGAAGCAGTTGCTGCTCTGTTGCCCTCCACCCCAGCTGCCACTCCATTTCTTCTTGAAAGGGTGACTCAGGCCTGTGTGTTGGGGGTGGAGCTGGGCACAGGGCCATGGGGACCTTTGTTCTGGTTACAACTCTGTGGGGTGGCAATGGTCTTACTCTGCCCCAAGGACATTTTTTTCCCAGGAGGAGGTTTTGCTGGGCTCCCCGGTGCGCCCAAAATGCTTCTTTGAGGTTTCTGATATTTGGGGTAGGGGGAGATGTTTGCATGGCAGGGCTATAACTCTTCAAGTGCTAAGACAGCTGCTGTTGTGTGGAAAGAGTCTGGAATATTTTCTCCATGTCTTCCTAGCAGTGTCCTGAACTACTGCTTCCTTGACGACGTTGGGCACAGGTAGAGATGGTGGCACTGCCCCTTGGGGCCTGTCCAGGCTGACCTTTGGGTTCGTTGGCCAGTCTACAGTGAGATTGAGGATTCAGAATCTGATTCCTGAAATGGGGGTTGCTGAAAGGCCCCCATTTTCTCTCCTTGATTCTTTTTTTTAAGATTTTATTTATTTACTTGACAGAGCGAGACAGTGAGAGAGGGAACACAAGCAGGGGGAGTGGGAGAGGGAGAAGTAGGCTTCCCGCCGAGCAGGGAGCCCGATGCGGGGCTCGATCCCAGCACTCTGAGATCATGACCTGAGCCGAAGGCAGACGCTTAAACCATCTGAGCCACCCAGGTGCCCCCAAAAGATTTTATTTTTAAGTAACCTCTACACCCAATGTGAGGCTCAAACTCACAAGCCGGAGATCAAGAGTCGCACGCTCTAGTGACTGAGCCAGCCAGGCGCCCCACTTGTTGAATTACTTCTAAGTGTTTATTCTTTTTCATGTGTCATAAATGGATTTGTTATCATTCTTCAGATTGTGCATTGCTGGTATGCAGAAGTACAATAGAGTTTTTAAAATTTTTTTAAGGTGTTATTTATTCACTTGAGAGGGGGAGAGGCAGGGAGAGGGAGAAGCAGACTCCCAGCTGAGCAGGGAGCCCAACATGGGCCTTGATCCCAGGACCTGGAGATCATGACCTGAACCGAGGGCAGACGCTCAGCCATCTGAGCCACCCGGGCGTCCTACAGTAGATTTTTATATATTGATCTTGCAACCTTGCTTAACTGGTTTATTAGCTCTAATAGTTTTTTAGCGAATTCCTTAGGATTTTCTATATACAAGATCATGCCTTGAGCATTTTTAAACCCCCCTGGCTGTTTTAGGAAGAGTCTTGGCCCTGGGAAAGCCCCTTCTTCATTCATATTTCACACATTTGACCCTGGCTCTCCTGCAGGAGGACCCCTCGCTGGAGAGGCATTTTAAAGGCCACCGAGATGCAGTTACCTGTGTGGACTTCAGTCTCAACACAAAGCAGCTGGGTAAGAGGAGGCATCTTCCTCGGCACTAGGTTATGAGCTGAGAGGGCAGAGTCTCTAGCTGGGAGGTGGGGGGGGGGGGGGGGTAGGGCACTGTGAGGACCCAGGTGCTTTGTCTAGCCCTGCATCTGGCTTCAGCTGGCCAGCTGTCTGGGGCTGGGTTTGTGAACTGCATTCTACATGCAGAGTGTGGGGCTCAGAGAGTTGGGGGGCCTTGCCAAGGGCACGGAGCCTTGGAAGGTGGGTCCAGGGTCTGGGCTTTTCACTGCATATACCCCAGCCGTCTCTTGGGTCTGGCTGGTAGAATGGCCCTAAACAATGGCTCCTTTTCCTTGGGTCCTCGATTCTGTTGTCCACAGCAGTATGGGAGCATCCAGTGAGAAGGGCAAAGAGCAGAGCTGAGTACCCCTGCTCCTTGGTCGCTTGGGGGTTCCTACACAGCTGTCATGGCTGCCGCTTTCTTGTTTCTAGGGACAGGGCTCTCCATCCCATAGTCAAGGTCCCCTGCCAGAGACTACTGGTCACTGTAGATAAAGAGCAAACTGAAGTCATTTGATCTGTCTTGGAGATCTCTACGTTTCTGATTGACTTGGTCCCTCTCAGTGGCAAAAGACCCATTGGGTCGGGCTGGGAGGACTTGCTCTCTAGTGCCCTTAGGGTGTGACTGTGGGGAACCCCATGGGGGATGAGTTTTCTCAGAGGCCCGCTGGGTTGCAGCCCAGGCCTTGCATGTGAAGGGCGTCTCTTGGTCTGGCTCCCTTGTGGGCCTGCTGCTTGGAGAGCTGACAGCCCATCGATGCTCCAAACCCCAGCTCAGCAGTTGCTGGAAGTGTGGTCTTTCTCCTGTCCCCTTACCCCATCGTCCTGCTGGAGGCTCAAGGCCCACTAGAGCTGAGGGTCACAGCATCCCTGCTTTCTCAGCCAGTGGCTCCATGGACTCATGCCTCATGGTATGGCACATGAAGCCCCAGTCACGTGCCTACCGCTTTGCGGGCCACAAGGACGCTGTCACCTGTGTGAACTTCTCCCCTTCGGGACACCTGCTGGCCTCAGGCTCCCGAGACAAGACTGTCCGGATCTGGATACCCAATGTGTGAGTTACAGACTTGGAAGGGCTTGTCTGAGCCTGGGGTCCTGGTGCCAGAGTTGTCCCCACTCCAGTCCCCATCCTGGCTCTGGACTTGTCATGGTGGGGCATCTGCCCTACTTCTGAAGGGGTGCTGTCAGAAGCTGAGCCCTCCCCTTAGGGTTGGGAGAGGGATTCTGGGCTTACCGCAGCCATCCTGGAAGGGCTCCCGTCTGATGCTGCTCACATATGGGCAGGGTGGGTGGTGGTTCTGGCCTTCCTTGTGGGGGGCTGGGGTGGCAGGCCTGCACGGACGTCGGGAAGGGCCCCTGAGGGGTCGGGAGAGCGTTGATGTGCTCACGGGCCCTCCTGTCACCGTTGTGGGTCTCCTGAATCGGAATACCCGTCCCTGCAGCAAAGGCGAGTCTACCGTGTTTCGTGCACACACAGCCACAGTGAGGAGCATCCACTTCTGCAGTGACGGCCAGTCTTTTGTGACGGCCTCCGACGACAAAACAGTTAAGGTGTGGTCAACTCATCGCCAGAAATTCCTGTTCTCCCTGAGCCAGCACATCAACTGGGTCCGCTGCGCCAGGTGAGCATCATCCTGCGCCCAGACCCTTGGAGGGACCTGGGGCTTGAGGGGCACCGAGGCGCTGCCAGGCGCCAGTAGCGTGACCTTGGGCGAACTAGCTACTCTTTCATATTCCTGAGCCTCAGCTTCCTGATTGGGAAAATGGGAGCAAAGAAGTTGTCGCACTGTAAATTGCTGAGGAGCTTCTAGCTCACATATGACAAGTAAGTGAGTTCGTTGCCAGCCATGATTGAGCCCCTGACCTCCGGACTAATGCGGCCGGAAGCAAGTCGGCAGGGGCCATTTAGGAGCAATAGCGACAAGATGATGTCACTAGTAGCACTCTACAGTTTGTTTTCACTTTTCATGGCAGGCCTGCAGCCTAGGCAGTGTCATTCCCATTTTACAGATGAGGACACCGAGGCTCAGAACAGCGCAGTGTCTTGCCCCTGGGTGCTCGCTGGGGTTTGAAGCTGAGTCTGCCTCTCAGAAGTTGGTTTTGCTTGAGCTGCTGGGTGGATGTTGAGGCTTCTGAGGAGGCTGGTCTGGAGGCTGGCTCTCCCTTTGCTGTGGGGGAGGCAGTGCTGTGGGGATAGGCGCCAGGTGACCCACAGGACCTTTCAGGGTCCAAGGATTGCGGACACAAATGTGCCCACTTTCAGCTATTCTGATCCTTTCGACAGAGATCTCCGTGCTCCAGAGGAAGAGGTTGGGAGGTCTGGGGATGCTGGGAAACCATGGGAGTCAGAGGTTGGGGACTATTATGGTGTTCTTCTGGGGACCCCATGCAAGTTACTTGTTCTCCAGGGCACCTTTGTCCTGGGAGGTCCCTGATTGCTCAGAGAGGCCTCACCATCAGGTTCCTGAGAATAGGAGGGGCCAGGCCAGCAAACCAGTGTGAAGCCTACACCAGCCTTTGGTGGTGGGTCCCCAGGACCTCCACACATTTTTGTCGGTAGGTGGTTCTCAGAGTCAAATGTGGACTTGGGGGACCTGAGAACAGGGTAACGATGCTGATGGTGGCTTTGGGCCACCTTCATGCTAATAGCATGAGCAGTCAGCACGCACTTTGCCACATGCCACGTGCCGTGCTGGGGGCCTTGTGCATACAACGTTGCTCCCTGCCCACCATGAGTGTAGGTACCATTCTTACCCATCTCACAGAGGGAAAGCCGCCTGCCCAGGATCGCTCAGGGTCAGAGCAGTGTTCACGCTTTGGCTGGTTCTGGGATCTGGTGGTGGGCAGTGCAGGAAGGTGGCTGTGGAGGACAGTGTGCAGTGCCCACGGTGGTGTGACTTGTGCCCTGCCTGGTTCAGGTTCTCCCCAGACGGGCGGCTCATCGTGTCTGCCAGCGATGACAAGACTGTCAAACTATGGGACAAGACGAGCCGGGAGTGTGTCCACTCTTACTGTGAGCATGGCGGGTAAGTCACCGGACCCTGTCCTCCTCCTGCAGATGCTCAAGAAAAGCATGGACCTAGGCATGAAGGGGTCCCAGTGGCCTTATGTGGGGCCACGTCTCTGCTTCTCTCTGTCTCTGAATTTTTTCCTATGTGAGCGGGAGGTTCAGTCTCATCTCCATCCCCACAAATAACGGGTGCTTAACTTTAAGGCATGTGATTCTTGGGGCCTCTCTTTTCCTTTCACTTCCCAGTTCTCAGAATTGTGACTTGTCTCTCTGAAAGAAGGTGACCCTGGACCTCCCAAAATCATGTTAGTATGTTACCTGTGGTGATGGTTTTATAAATGAAAGGCTTGTCAGGTTCTTGTAAGTTCTTGGTGGCGGTTCACGTTGTGCCACATCATCAGGAGAGGGAGGAGCCTGCATTGGAGTAGGGCCTCACCTGTTCTGGTCTTCTCAATGAACGCCAGCTTGTGCGCTCCGCAGGTAGGCTGGGAGCCCCCGGGAAAGTCTCCTCCTGAGAGCCGGCCATGATGCCAGCCTGGATGTCACGTGTGGGGATATTGGGGGCCCTTGGCCTGTCTCCTGGAGATAGTCAACCAGTGGCCTTGGGGCCCTGCTGGCCCTTTGGGGCTGGGCCTCAGCGGGCAGGGGGCTTTGATGAGGGCCCTGCTTTGATGAGGGCCCCGACTCTGACTCTAAACACCCTAAGCTGTCGGCTGACCTTTGGGCTGAAGACCACTTTCTCTACTTGTATGTAGAAGTGGCTGCTGGGATTTGCTCCCTGGTAAGTCCATGTCCGGTCACTGTTAGCCACTGTTCTCACCCTCTCCTTGCTATCCCTTGGCCACCTGGTAAAGAAGCGGGGCAGGAGGGAGGTCTTCTGGGTTTGGGGAACAGCCTGAGCGGACGTGCAGGGATGTTGGAAAGGGCTGGATGTTTGGGGGTCTGTTCCGAGCCAGGACGGTCCTCCTCTAGCGTGTGGTGGCCCCTGTCTTTCCAGCTTTGTCACCTTCGTGGACTTCCACCCCAGCGGCACGTGCATTGCCGCCGGCGGCATGGACAACACGGTGAAGGTGTGGGACGTGCGGACACACCGGCTCTTGCAGCACTATCAGCGTGAGTGTCCGAGAGCGGCCGCTGCGGGGCTGGGGCGGCAGGTGGCCGGCTCGTTGCCGTGGTGCTGAGGCGGGCCTGAGGACGGCCCCGGTCAGTGGGGAGAAGGCCCGGGCCCGTTGGGATCTCCAGCAGCCGGTAGTCTGTGCCGTGGCCATGCTGCTCGGAACGCTGGCCCGAAGGTGGACCCTGGCGCTGCCTGGCGCCCACCAAGCCCTGTGGAGCCTGCTCCGGAGCCGGCAGAGTCTCCTGCACACTGCAGGGCGGGACGAGGAGCTCGCAGTGGATCTCTGGCCAGGGCTCTGCTCAGGGACCGCTTCTCAGGGGCTACCCGTGCTACTCGTCTCTAGAGCTAAGGGGAAAGGGGCAGGCCTGTCAAAAGAAGTCAGTGTTCATGGCACCTTGGCCACCTCTGGCCTCCTGGTGTCCTCCATAGGTATGGAGCCAAGAACCATACGGAAGGTCAACTTAGGCTAGAGACCAGGCTCAGGAGGCAGCCCTGGGGCTGTGTCCCCTGATCTAATGGTAGCCCTCGGAAGGCAGAGCGGCAGGCAGTCAGCATGGGCTGTGGCCAGTTCCAGCTGGGAGGTGGGGTAGGGACGGACTTGGGTGTGATTAGGATGAGCTTGTGGAGGGTACTAGAGCATGGAACTGTCTTGAGAGCAGGTGTGACTGGGGAGGGCCATGAGCCACCTCCGTTGTGGGGATGGGGCCAGGGAAGGAAGCTGGCGAGGGGCCACAGGAGGAACTAGGAGTTGTGCAGGGGGCAAAATGGTGGGTGGGCCTGTGGGCCTGGGGCTGAGACTGGGGAGGGGTAGAGCTGGAGTTGTTTGAGGAGCTGTGGTCGTTGACTTGGGACTAAGTTTAAAGACCATGGGCTCCTTTCCAGAATTCGCACCTGAAAATGGGAAGGATGTGTCTGGACAAAGGTGTGAGATTGGGGTTCAGAGCTCTCCTTTCCACCCACTATGAGCTCTTCTTAGCTGACTCTAAGATGTTGAGGTAACCGAGGCGAGGGAGAGGCTCCTGGTCTTAAAAAGCACACGGTGGAGGGTGGGCTCCGCAGCCAGCCTCAGCATTCCTAGTTGTGTGACGTTAGGCAGGTCACTTGACTCCTCTGGGCCCCCTGGGACAATGATAGGGCTTCCCTCACAGATGGTGTTGGGAGGGTAACGAATTGGTCTGTGTCAAGAGCTTAGGGAGTGCAGGAACCAGGTACTGTGTTCATGACGCCCGTGTTGCCAAGTCTGGGTCCTGGAGATCCTGGAGTAGGGAGTCTGGCCTGCATTGCCCTATACCACCACCAGGTGGCAGGGGCTAGCCGCATAACTGGTACCTTCCTCAACAGAGAGCCCTGGGGTTTGTCACAGCCGCCGTTTCAGACAGAGCTTCTAGAACAGAGCAGCTATGGGGTCTGCCCTCTGCTTGGAGACCACACCCCTCTTTCCCCTCCTTCAGGCTTTAGAGGCCTCTCTTCTGCTCTGGGCCAGGCCTGGGTTGGAGATCGGGCACATCTGCAGGGTTGACTGGGGGAAGGTTGGCAGGTGTGGAGGAGTGCTGGGCGGGAAGGCGCCACTGAGTGTGGGGTCAGGAGAGATGGGAAGGGAAGGTGACGAGGCAGTGCAGGTTAGGAGTATAGGCTGCTTCCTATCTGTAAAGGGGGTGGTAATAGTACCTTATGGGGTTTGAGAAGATCTGTTGGGAGAGTTCAAGTGAGTACTGGAAATGTGGTTTGTACCACATAAGTCTTTTAATTTTTTATTATTATTTCTTTTCACCACATAAGATTTGACACTGAGGGGAGAGGATCTCTAGGTGACTCTGGGAGGGTCCAGCCTCACCTCTGATGGGTCAGGAGCATGGGTCTGGTGTTTGTAGGGTGCACCAGCAGGTACCCATTGGGGAGGACCTTGAATGCCATACTGTGGCCCATGGTCCCAAAGTTGCAGCCTGGCTGGCTGTGCTGGGACTGGTCCCATTGCTTGAGGAGCGAAGATCTGTCTGAGAGGACAGCAGTGCTGAGAGCCTACATGGGTGGGAAGCTGGTGTGTCTGGGTGATTGGTGGGTGGGCTGCTTGCAGCCGGTGTCTGAGGGAGGGCTGGGCATCTGAGTGGGGCAGGGATCGGGCCCAGGGAGATAGGCTTTGGAGATTGAATAGAGTTAGGAGGTGATGCTGTGGGTTGAGTGGCCACCTGGGCCCAGGAACTGGGGGCTTGAGAAGGGCTGGGGCGATATCCTGGGTCCCTGTGTTTAAGGGGCCATAGAGGGAAAGGTTGACAAAGCAGCCAGAGTGAGGGCTGATGGGGCAGAGCCAGGGGCATGAAGGAATGCAACGTCTCCTAAAGAGGTGGTCAGGAGGGGGAGTGATGTAGGGCAGTCGAGGAGGGTGGCGGGTGCTGGAGAGAGGTCCTGGGCATGGGAGGTCAGTGACTGGCAGGGCCGGGGAGGTGGTAGGAGGGCTCAGGTGTCATCAGGAGCCAAGTCCTGAGGGGACCCGGGTGCATGAGGCTGACAGGCTCTGCAGAGAGATTTCAGTGTGTTTTTGCTTGTCCTTTGCTCCTATGACAGAGCTACCCAGTGTCTTATTCCTAAGCCACCCCAATATAGATCAGACGCCTTGGGTGGCTTGGAGTACCTCATAAACAATCGGGTTTCCTCAGCTCCCTGCCCAATGCATGGCGCACGGGGCAGCAAACTCATCCCACTGCCTCTGAGCTTACCCTCTGGGGCTCAAGGAGAGCTCGGTGGATCTGAGCACATTGGCTGGGGGACGTACCCCTCACCCTTTATGCTGCTTGAGGGACCTGGCCAGGTCTGCTCAGGTCTAGCGGCTTCCCCAAAGAGCTCCATGGCCAAACCTTCTACCTGAGAGGCTCCCCCTACCCCCTTAGTAGCAGCTGCTCCCTCATCCTCAGAGGTGCCGGGGCATCTGTTTGGAGGCTGATTCCCCGAGAATGACTCCTGGCACTCTGGCAGCAGATGCCTGAGCTGTTTTCGATCCTTGGCCCCTGGGAAACCCAGAGGAAAGTTTTTAAGAATACCATAACATCTAGTGTCTCCCTTGGTGACTCCGAATGAGTACCAGGCACTCCTGGGTGGGCTTGAGGCACATGAGCTTGTTGGGCTTTTCTGAGACCCTTTGATTCCTGATACTGCAGTGTGTGGTCAGCAGCCGCAGCCTGCCCGTGTCCAGCTGCCCCGTGGTTGCGCGTCACGGAGGACACTTCCTGTTCCATGCTGGGTTGTCGGGAGTTAAGCTGGCACCATCTGTCTCAGGCAAGGAGTTTCTTGGCTCTGACCTGTCCCTGTGGGGAGCAGTTCTGGTTTCCCAATTCAGCGAGGAGACAGTGGGGCTGCCGGATCCCTGGGAGTGCCAGGCCCCACGGAGGTGGGTTAGGCTCCATATGCTCCGAGCCCACGAGAAGGCTGTTCAGACATCTGAGCAGCAACCCCCATCCGGAACCCGTAGTGCAGTTTGCGGCTCACAGGCACGTGCAGGTCCGCTAGCCAGTGACAGGCCCCGGGGGGGCTAGCAGGACAGGGCTACTCCCCATTTCACAGATAGGCAGTTTGAGGCTTGTCCATGGTCCCACGGCTGGGAAGCTGGGAATCTGAGTTTCCAACGGAAGGCCTCTGAGTGTGGCGTTCTGTCCGCTGCTCCACGCTGGCTTCCTTACACCATGTTGATTCTAGTCATTTGCTTCCTGAGGCCCCTGGGAGGGTTTGGTTTGGCCCTCTCCAGAAATTCTAGTTAGAGCTCAGAGTCCCAGGTTCTCTGTCCCCTGGTTCTTAACACACCCCTCTGCCCTACCCCAGATCTGGTCACAGAGGATTTTCAGGCAGCTGTGCAGTCAGTTGGTGGGGCGGGCCTGTATCCTTTGGTTGGTGTTTTGAGACCAGAAGGGTTGGTCAGGAGGGCAGTGCACTGTCCCACGTGATCTGGCCAGCTCACTGGCCCTTTCCCACCATCCCTAAGTGGGCATTGGTGTGACATTCACACAGCAGGGTTTTGAGCATCCTTCCCTGCTGGTATCAGAGCACCTTCATTGTACGAATCCGTAGTCCCTTGTGAACCCGAAGTCGCTGGGGAGGCCAGTTGCATGTTATGAGAAGCCCCCCCAGGTGAAGTGCGCTGCGCCCTTTGTGATGGTGGTGGGCTGGGGCGGGGGCTTGGCCTCGTGTGGCCTGCCTTAGAAAGCTACCTCTGACTTGGGTACCTGGGACTTCTCTGGGCCCCTTGGTCAGTTTGGAGCCCACTGGGCAGTGGACCAGGTTTGCTGAGGGCTTGTACATGCCGCGCTGTGTGGGCAGAGTGGATTGTGGGTACCTAGGACTCTCCTTAGGCCACGTGCTGCCCACAAGCTATGGCCAGTTCCCAGTGCTTAGGGGCAGGGTCTGCAGTGGCCTCGGTCCCACCTTCTCTGGGTTCCTGGTGACCTGTAGAATCTTGATGTTGGTATATCTCTGACCATGAGTTGGAATCTCTTCTCTGGGGCACTGTGCCGTCAGTTGTCACCAATCAGTGCCATGGAAGCAAGAAGAGGGCCTAGCAAGCTTTGGGTCTGATGAGAAGTGGATTGTTCCTGGACAGTCACTGCTCAGGACTTTATGGTGGGAGCCTCCCCGGGGGACTGGCGTGCAGGGGTGATTCTTAGGATGAGGCCTCCCTAGAATGTGTCTCCCACCTCTATAGAGCCAGAGAGGCTGCCCCAGGCTGGCGGGGCTGGTGGGTGAGGCAGGAGAATGAGGAGGGAAATTCGGCAGTGGGTCCTGGTATCTAATACATCCTCATCCCCCAAGCTGTGCCCTCTTCTGGAGTAAATGGTTCCAGATGTTTCCACCCCAGCGAGGAGGCCTTTGATATTCCTGCCATTTATAGCAGAGCAGGGCTTTTGGTGCCCTTCCTCTGGGGGAGATTCCCTCCCTGGGGTAGACTTGCCCAGCTGGGGGGCCCTGGCGTGCTATCCACATCCTGACCCCACCGCCCTGGTGGTGCTGGGAAGCCCTGGGCCCTCCCTGATCCACCCTCCTGGCCCGGTTGCACCTCTGCCAGCTTTGTCTCAGGTGGGGCGGGGTGGCGTTCATTCCAGGCCAGGCTGCCAAGGGCTGCAGAAACAAGAATAGCGTGCCCTTCTCCAGGCTCAGGGAGGGAGACGCGCGGGGGGCAGCATTTGAAGGGGCCCAAAGGGAGATGGGGCCTGGGGAGACAGATGCAGGGCAGGCCGCCTCTCAGAGCTGTCCTGCTGTGGGGCAGAGGGGTTGAGGGTGGCAGGGCTCCCCTCCTCCCACCCCACTTCACTGCCAGTGTGAACCAGCAATCTGGCGAGCATTGCGGGCCCCTCGGGAGTGCAGGGCACTAGCTCTTCGCCTGTAGACTCACGACCTGAAGGGCTGGCGGGAGGATGCCGAGCCAGACTGGGCTCCCGCTTCCCTGGACACCACTCACTCTTTTGCGGGGGAGGGAAGGATTCACTTTTTATCATTCACCCAGTTGTGTAATCACAGTGACTGTATTCGGATGGTTAAAAAAAAAAAAATCTGGAGGTATGCAGAGTAAAAATGAGAAGTCCCTGTATTCCTGTCCTCCCCAGGGGCCTCTATAGAAGGTCTCTGTCTGGAGCTTCTGTCCACTTCCCTCTGCATGTGCGTCCCTTCCACCTGTGGGTAGTGGCAGTCACGCTCTGCGTTACGAACGTTCTTTCTGCCACTGCTTGTGGCTGGCTCCTGCCTGTTCAGTTCCTGATGGGTCAGCTGTGGCCGTATTCTTTGGCTCTCCATGCCCCAAGTCTTGGTAAACACTGAGGATGCTGACCTCCCCCACCCCCCACGGCCTCGAGTGGGGGGAGTGCGGCGGGCTGAGGGCGCTGTGCTCTGCCTCTGTGGAGACCCCCTCAGCCCCCTTGCAGGCTGGCTCCTGGAGCTGTGGTGCTTAGAGAGTGCTCAGACATAAATACTGTGTTATGTAAAGCCCTGGCTGTCTCCCCTAAGTGTGCTTGGGAACATGTACCCACACTCCCCAGGCGTATCAGCACATCAGCTGGGCTGGTTTCTGAGGGGCTCCATGTGCCCCTGTGGGCTCTGTGGAAGGCCAGCCTGTGGTGGATGTGTTTCTGGCCTCGCACTGGTTCTTGCAGACCCACAGGGCCAGGGTGAGAGGTTGGTTTTAGAGTTTGTCTTTCTGTTTGTAGCAGTTCTGATTCGGCGGGCCCTGGTTATGTCACCCCCACTGGTGTCCCCCACCTGGCCTGTGGTGGTGGGGATGAAGGCACTGAGGTCTTCTTTAGCAGCTGCTTTCAGAAGCTGTGATGGAGCTGGTCCTCACATTGTTGTCCCCACATGTGGCCTGCCTGGGTCCAACTCACCTACTCACCAGCCACTTTCTGAGTCCTGCTCAGTGTCAGGTGCTGAGCCGAGAGGCAAGGACCCGACACAGCCCCTGCCTGACGGAGCACACAGTCTCATGGGGGACCTGGCCATGAGTCAGAGAGCTACACGGGAATGTAAAACACTGCAGTGAAGAGTGCGTCCACCAGAGACTTACGGTGCTTCAGGGGGACAATTCAGGGGGGTGGCCCCGATGAGGTCGGGAGGCTTCCCTGAGGAGGTGACTGAGCAGTGAGCTTCAAGGTCAGGGGTAGAGGTGGGCAAGAGTCTCCCAGGTCCGTGTGGAGCAGCTGGGAAGCTGACAGGGCTGGGGTGGCCAGATCTCACAGAGTGAGGGTCACCAGGATGGGCGGGCTCAGGCCAGGCCACTGGGGAAAAGAAAGTCACAGATGAGGTTGAGCTGTTGTGTGGGTAAAGCGGCAGGACCTGGAAGCTGCGTATGACACCTGGGGCAGCAGAGAGGCCCATCGGAGGGCTCCCTCTGTACAGAGGCCTCACAGGCAGGCTCCCCCCGCCCTGCGCCCCAACACGTGGGTGCCATGATACAGCAGGAGAAATGGGTGCAGCATGTCAGGGTGCTTGCTGAGGGTCCTAAGGTGAGGGACAGTGGGGAGGCTGGGATTGGAACCCAGGCCCGACTGGCTCCTGAACGTGTGTCTTACCTCTGCCCGCCTGCCCCACACGCATGCTCTCGTCGGGCAGGGGCATCGTACTGGCACCTCAGGGATTGTCTTTTCTGTTCGGTTTCCCCTAAGTAGCGGTATGAGAGACAGCTTGGGTGTTAGGTTTGAGCACTCTGTTCTGCTCCAGCCCGACCGCTCCGTGTGGCAGGAGAGCAAGGGGAATCGCCCCATCCCTCTGGCCTTGTCATGTGGGCTCCCGCCTGCCCCATGTCTCCTGCTGCCTGTCCTCAGCTCTGGATGAGTCCGCTCCTGTTCTTTGGTTGTGGGGCTCCCCACGTCGTTGGAGCTGTGGCCGCCCTGGCTCAGCCCTGTGCTGAGCCTCGGTTGGCCCCAGTTGCCCGTCTTCAGGCTCCAGCTGCATCCCTGGGCCTCCCAACCAGCGCCTGACTGATGTCCCTCCCCCAGTGCACAGCGCGGCGGTGAATGCCCTGTCCTTTCACCCGTCCGGAAACTACCTGCTCACGGCCTCTAGCGACTCGACCTTGAAGATTCTGGACCTCATGGAGGGCCGGCTGCTCTACACGCTCCACGGGCATCAGGTGAGGGCATCAGCCTGGTGCTGTGGTGTGGAGGGGGGCGGAGGTGCCGTCTCGAGGCCCATACGGGGCTGGGGTTCACCGGAGGGGGCCCTTCCCTTGGAGCCCGCTGGGGATGGTTTCTGTGGTCCCCTCCGGCCTGGGCAGTGGGGTGAGATGCAGAAACAGGTTTGCCCCTCACAGGACCTATGACCTCTGGCAGAAGTGCTGGGCCTGGTGCCGCAGCTGAGTAGAGCGTGCAGGGGTTAACTTGGGTGGGGGTGGGGGGGAGGCATCTGGACATGGTGGGCACACTTCGCCCAGGGGGCTGCATGGAAACTGTTCCACAGTGACCTCAGGTGTCCCTTGGTCCAACAGTTGAGTAGAGCCCTGGAACCCCTGCCCAGAATCAGGGTCTCTTGGGGGTCTGCAGACATCGGTGCCTTTGGGGACAGTAACCACAGGTGTCTCTCAGAGGCAGGTGCTAAGGGGGACGTCTTCCTGTGTGTGTGTGTGTTTGCGAATTCCTGGAATTGAAGCAAGGGAGCAGAGCCCTTCTCTCTGAGTGACTTTTGCCAGTGCGGCCGGTGGCCTGGACTCCCTGGGTGGGCAGCGACCAGCACCAGCCCCCGTGGGCCGGCCGTGGGGAGGTGGGTTGCTTGTAGCCCTCCCTAGCCACTGGCCTGGGTGCCGGCCTCTCGCACCACCCTGTCAGAAAGTGTGGCTGAGCAGAGCGGTCATTGGAGTTTCTCCTGTTGGGACATAATTGCCGCACCCAAGTGGGGCCGGGGGTGCCAAGAGTTCATCCCCTTCTCCACCTGTGGGCGGGAGGCAGGCAGAGAGGCGAGTGGGGATGAACTCTCGAGGGCTGAGGCAGGCCCCGCTGTGCTCATGTATCTTGGGCTGGCAGCTCTGGATTCCGCTGCCATCTGAGTTGGGCACGTGGGGGCCATTGGCCATGGCTTGGGGTGGGAGCCTGGGCTTTTCCTTGTGCCCTCTTGGGACTTGGAAGGCTGCCTGCTCCCCTCAGCCCATGGTGACCGCTTGTCCTCCCTGTCACACATTTGGAGTGCAGGACCAGCGGTCCCATCCCCCCAGTGGCTGGCCCATCTAGGTGTAATATCTGGCCTCTGGGCTGGGTGATTGCTGCTCTTGTTGCAAGCTTGTTAGGGAGCCACCTTGTTAGCCCTTTGGCAAGTCAGTTATTCAGTCACGTGTAACCAGTTTGGGATCTTATAACCAGGAGGACATTTGAAAACCACATGAGGGGCGCCTGGGTGGCTCAGTTGGGTGGGCGACTGCCTTCGGCTCAGGTCATGATCCTGGAGTCCCGGGATCGAGTCCCGCATCGGGCTCCCTGCTCGGCGGGGAGTCTGCTTCTCCCCCTGAC